CCTCTTCGTGGAGGCTGGCGTATAACTCCTCGAGATCATCGGAGGAGGTGGTCTCCTGAAGATAGGAAAAAAGGGGGTCATAAAGAAAGCAACCAGCTGGGACATGAGGAATGACAATGAGAAAAATCTAGTACTCACTTGGGCGGCCGACGGCGCACCTAGAGTTGCTGTAGCCGGAAGCTCGGTCAGGACCGCCGAAAAGACAGGCGGTGAGCTCGGCACGTCAGTAACTGCGGCCTCAACCACTACAAGCGCGGTCACCACAACCGACTCTTGAGGCAACAGCGCTGGGGGCATGCTAATAACGGTCGCTGATAACGGCAGCGACGACCGGGGAGGCTGAAAGCAAAATTTCGGTCAAAAGCACGTGCCACAACTCCAAAGAATAAAATAAGACATAGTAAAAGCAAAGCACTTACCGAGCGAAACACGATGCCTCTTGGACGATGGGGTGCGGAAGACGCAACGGGGGCGGCCGAAGGAACTTCCGCCAGGGTGGCCCGCGTAGGTTCTACGGCAGGAAGTTCATCATCCGGCATATCCGCGGCAGGCTCCTCAGTAGCTGGCACTTCTTCGGCACCCAGCGTTTCGGTATCCTCGGCAGTGGCCACCTCCTCAGCGACTAACTCCTCGGGGTCGGCCGCCTCCTCGACACCCGGTGCCTCGGCAGCAGCCTCCTCCTCGACCTCTTCCTCGCCCTGAGAAAAAGACCAGATCAACAAAATAAACAAGGAGGGGAAGGGCGTGGCCTGGGAAAGGAAAAGGAGAAAAAAGTTCAAGAAGAAGTACTTACGATCACGGGAGGGGCTTCACTCACAGCCACCAAAGGGACTTCCTCCTCGTCCTCGCCCTCCGAAAGATCAAGCAGGACCCTTTACCTCGGCCGCTCTAACGCCGCCACCTCAACCACAACAGTCTCTGCCAGCGCGGCCTCAACCACTGCGGCCTCGATGCTTGAGGCCTCTCTTGCGACTCGGGGCTGCATGTACAGAGAGAAGCAAAAAAGTCAAGTAAATAAACAAACAAGGACAATGGCGGCTCAGAAAGACCGAAGAAAAAATATAGAAGAGGGCTTACCAGCGGCAGCAATTGGTCGAGCCGGCGGGGAAGATGGCACGGTCCTATGCGCCAATGTCTTTCGAGCCCCCACCACAGCCGGCGTTCTGGAGGCTGGAGCCGCGATTGAAGTCACGACCGCTGCTCTAACTGAAGAAGCGACTGCCACCCTGGGCACGGCTGCGGCCGGCGTACTCGGTCGTGAAAGCACGGCCGGGGCTTTCTTCACCTTGCCAGCCTTGGAAAGAAGGGGGTCCCAGTCTGCATTCTTCAGGGCCCCTCTCACGGCCTCTTCAACAGGCCGAATAAATCTGGCCGAGATGCATTCCACGTACCAAAGCCTTTCATCTTCGTCGACCGCGTTTCGACGCATCCACGGCCTCAGCGTAAGAAAGGACATCCCTTTCTGAAGCTGAAAGGAAATCCCAGCCATGCCGTGCTGCTAGGCGACGTCGGCCCTCCAGGATGAGAGCTGGTTGATCGACAGCGGCGGGAGTGGTGCCGTCTAGATCAAGCCGAATTGCCGCACCACAAAATGCGGCAAATAGACTTTAGGCCCCGGCCTTGGATAGGCCGCAGTGAAGGTCGCACTCGACCAGAAAGGAGCCCCAAATCTCCCTCAAGTCGTTCTCTGTCTCACCATCAGGAATTATGGAGAGGTCGTGCACCAGGTACAAGGGATACGGTCGAGCGAGAGACACCCGGAACTGCGACCCGATCCTCTCGGTCAGCTCATAGAAAAACTTGTAGCAGAAGGTCGAGGCATTGTGCTTCTTGGGGGCCCGGGTGAATGCGTTGGCCAACGGCTCGGTATCAGCGACGCTGACTGTACCCCTCAGCTCTGGGAAGTAAGCCTGCAGCCAGAACTGGAAGGGCCACAATGGACCACCGTGCTTCGGCTTCATCCCGTCGATAACCACATCGTGAAGCGTGCAGTAGATGTGACCGAGGAGGAATGGGCCGAGCGCCAGCCTTCCGCCTTGCGCAAGATAGTCGGCCAGATGGGCAAACTCCAAGGTGACTTTGTTCGCCTGGGTGCAGAACACGAACTTGCATAGCCAGTATAGCAAGAACGCGACGTGCTCGACCTCGCCCAAGGGAGCAAGAGAATCATCATCGGCGATGTCCTCCACGCCGAAGTTGCTGTAGAAGCTGAAGTAGTTGAGCATGTTCTTCGCCTTGCTCCCAGCAAGCTTGGCGATCGTAGGCCACGAGGCCTTAAAGCTCCCTTCGACCTCATGGGCGGTCAGAGCGGCATTCACCTCCACGCCTAAAGGGGATAGGCCGAACAGGGCGGCCATGTCTAGAACGGTCGGCACCATCATGCCAAACCGAAAGTTCATGGTATTTGTGGCCGACGACCAGAAGCATAAGGCCGCGGCCAAAAGCGACCGATCCATAACAAGCGGCCGATCGAACAGCTTGATCAAGTGGTAGATGCCTTGATCCTTCCATTGTTGGCCGAAGAAGTGCTCCATCCTCGGCAGCCACTTTTCCCAGTCTGGGGTCGAGGTTGGCCATTGGGGCTGCGGCCTGGCAAAGTTCCAGTCTTTGAAGTCCCCCCCATCAAAGGCCGAGAAATTCACCAAGTTGTCCCTCAGATGGACAGCCAATCTCTCTGGCATTCCCCCTTCCACGGAGGGGCCGAGGATGCAAGAATCAGTGACAGCACCGTCGTCATTAGCCTAGGGCGCGATGTTATCAGAAAGGACCGAGGTCTGGATTTCTCAGTAGATGTCCTCAAACTCGGTCTGGAAGGCTTGGGTCCGAGCTTCAACAGATGTAGGGGTGCTGGAGGCCATTGAGACGGATTGAAATGGGGTAAAAAGTTGAAGAGAGGGTGATGAACACGAAAAACACCAGGAAACCAAGCACTCAGAAAAAGAGTCTTCTGAGAAATGCACAAGAAGCAACTGAGGACGTTGGTTACTAACCAGGGGATAACTGGGCAGAAAGAGGTTGTGAGGCTCGAAATGGTTGAAGAATTGAGAGAAGAGTTTTGGCAGAGTTTGGGCGTCTGAAAATTCTGAAAGCATGAGGAGAGAACGAAGAAGGATAGGCTTTTATACTAGCGCTCGAATTCGAAAACGAAAGGGCACGATCCTCTCGAGAGACGTAACGGTCTGACAGTGTGCTCAAATACGCGATGACGTGTTAGAAGCCCGGAGGCCGTCGTTTCAATTGACGAGGCGAAGCGACGGCTCGAGCGAATCAAGGCAATGATGGCTTAAGGGACGTGCTTGCTCATTTAATGCGTCGATGACCTTCGCATTTAAGACGCCAACTGTCGATCACTTTAGGGGGAAGGCAGAGAGTCCATCCCTTGGACTCCATTCGGCCTCTGCCCGAGCCGCGACCGAAGAATCCAGGGATGTGAGGGTAATGTTTGTGCCTAAATAAATCACGGTCGTCAGAAGGGACCTCTTCTCGGCCATGGCACCTGTTCATGGACTAAAATGGCCACGTTTCGTCAAACATTTAGCCTTTTCAAAAACAGAAGGAAAATACGAAGGCAGGGTTTTCTCGGCCTCACAATCACGGCATTATGGGCCGAGGCCGAGGTCCATGAGAGACACGGCCAAAGATACTATGGTCAAATCGTCACGTGGCCTCAGGGTCCCACGCCCCATTTAATGAAGTAGTGCCTTTGACCGCCACAGCAAAACCACTGGGTGCAAGAAGCATTTAATGCACGAGGGCAGAAGGGAAGTGATTGAAGTCAGGATTTGGTAACAGGAATCAGAGTGGTTAGGCGCAAACATTCTCACAATGCATTCTCACATCTTGAGGTCAGATCACCAACCACTGGACCAGAGCATTAAATGCGTTCCCACGGCCAAGAGTGCAGAGCCCACGATCAGGGCAGTGGCCGAGATTTGCCGAGATTTATGGGGGTCACACCACCATGCTTCACGATCCCAAATGCCGATTTG